CATTTAGAAAGAACTACTCCTGATGATACAGAGAGAGAGAGCGAGACAGAGCTGGCTCGGTGCCATACAACCTCAAATGATCCCAAAAGGAGTGAACTAAATGAAACATCCTCTCTATTCCAGCACCGCACACAATGCAGACCATTACTGTAGACAAAGGAATAACTGAGTTCACTAGTGCTATCCAAATGTGGTTAGAAAATGTATTTCCATTGACTGTTATCATCTGTGACATGGATGCAAAATAAAATCTTTGAGTATGAAATGATATATATGTAAACAAAATGAATTGCAGAGTGCTTACCGATCCTGGTGCCAGGATAACATGAGTCACAATGTTTGTAATAGATTTACTTTCAGAATTACTGTAGAAGAGGCTATGGGGTTCATTTACTAAAGGCAAAATAGGCTGTTCATTTTGCAAAGAATTTGCACTTTACAGGGGAATTTTCCCTTAACCTAGTAAATGAGGTGTAGCTTTGCTGACTTCCATCGTCTAATCATGTGCAAGCAAGAACTGATATTTTTTTAATTCTTTGCTTGCATATGATTGGGTATTATTTTACAAAGTGAATTTTCACCTTCTTCCCTAAGTTAAAGCAACATTCCCCGATAAGTGCACATTCCCTTGCAAAGTGAACAGCCTATCTGCTTTTAACCTTCATTTCTGTGTCCATATAAACACAGAAAATTTGCTGCAGGTATCAAGCATAGGCACTTAGAGGTGACTACACCCAGCTACACCCTGCCACAGTCAAGTGGCAGGTTATTGTGACAAGCAACGTTCTGGCACTTCCTAATAATACTGAAAATAGTCCCTCATTGCTGTGAGGGGGCAGACTATGATTTGGCCTTATCTGATAGCTTTTTGAAGTTGCAGCAGTTATGTTTAGGGACTTCCAAAGGCATATACTTTGTTCCATGCAACAGTTTTTCTGCTTTTATTCTAGAGACAGAATCTGTGTAAAGCCCACTTCTGGGCAAAATGTGTTTTTTTTAAATATGTCAATGATTAATGTGGATGGGGTGGGGGAAAAGGAGCTAAGACTTCAACTTTAAGTCCAGTAAACAGTTTAAAGTGAGTCCATACAAAATAAGTAATTCTATTCTGGGTCCATGCGAGTGTGTTGAGTTATCCATTACCTTCATAATGTATGTTTTTCAGGGAGCCTACCAGTATGCGGTCTGCACTTAGTTTCTAGGTTTGCCCAGCTACCAAATCCAGTTTCTAGGTTCTGGTCCTGACCTAAGAAATTGTGGTTACAACGCATTTTAAAATTTTTATTTTTTTCAAGAAAAATAAGGAAGTAAACCTCTCTTCAGGGAAGCCTATCCCACCTCAACCTAACCACTGAACCATCACGTTCTCAAACAATTCATCCCCACACAGCTACCTCCTCATGTATCACTTCCCCCTCCCCTTTTAGATTGTTATCCCTCCCTCCTTACCATCTTGTCTTGAATTGTATTGTGATTGTAATGTCTTCCTTATATTGTAAAGCGCTGCACAAACTGTTGGCGCTATATATATACTATGTAATAATAATAATAAGCATATACTATAGTTACACGATATATCGTTTTTGAAACCTGAGAGCAGTACACAATAAATTATATTATTACCATAATTAACATAGTTAAAAAAATAAAAATATTGACCAATAAAATCATTATAGTTCACCTTAAATGGATATCAATGCCATTAAAAAAAGAATCTGCAAATAAAAGTTATAAATGCAAAGAATAAAAGCTATGCTTGAAAAGAAGAAGGTAAATTCATCTTCAATGTTTTGTGGCACCAACTCGTTAAGAGAAATCCTTCTCCAAAGTCTCTTCAGGATCCGACACATCCAAAAGTGTCTCCTGTGTCTACTTGCTGCACTCAGTGGTTCCTCCCACTTACCCCTACATCACTACTGTGTCTTGGAGTGGTGTAGTGGGCAGCAGGAAAAACCACTGAGTGCAACAGAGAACAAAGGAGATGGAGAGTTTCAGAAGTATCAGTTTATGAAGAGGCTTTGGAGGACAATTTATTTTCATCAGAGCGGTGTTCAGTGGCACAGGCACTGCAAGAGATAAATACCCTCTTTTCTTAAGGTTCAGATTTTATTTGCAATTTCTTTTTAACTAGAGTTACTTTAATGTTATGAGCTCTATTGTGTCCTGCGGCGGACATTTTGTTTAGGGCCAACTCTGTTTGCCCGTTTGTTGCATGGATAAATTATTTTTCCCTTTCCACTCTTTGGACAAATAAAACCTGGTATGTTCAGATGAATCGACATATTTATTAAATTGTCATAAGAAAAAATAACAAAAAGTTAACCAAATATGGTTTGCGTTATACTGATATTGCTGTACTCTTCTGCTAATGTGAATTCCCCACTTTAATCTTGTTTTAGGTATCTTGATTGAAGTATTTAATCTTGAAAAGTCGACATCTTAAAAAAATATTGAAATTCAGTTAGGTTTTTACTTATTCTGCATGGATTTCACTTTAAAGATATCCTGAAATGGTATGAGTCACCTTGGTGCGTGCATGCAAATCAAGTCAGCAGGACTGGTCTTTTTTTTTTTACTGTAGCAAAACAGGCTAAAATGTTTTCCTTATGACCTGTAAATTATTTACACTCCTCTTCTAAATACAGACACCTTGGCTACCAGTTCAGGTCAGCCTTGCACACGCAAAGCTTAAGTATGGTTGTGAATGGAATTGCATGCAAATCAAAAAGCTAGAACAATAAAAATAATTAAAATGTGAATAAAGTACAAATTCATTTTATAAAACCCTCTCAGCTCCCCTCCCTAGCCCCCACAATATACAGTATTTAGCTATGCCTTCATCACCACCACCTGTCAATACTTACTATGATGACTGCGCCGCCTGCACTTTCTGCAGCCCTACCCACAAAAATCTTGTGCTGGACTGCCTGAGCCACTAAAGGTGCCCATACTTACGATTATCGCATGATTTTCGTCTGCAATCGCGTTTTCCTACGATAATCGCACAGTTGATGGGAAATGGGAGGGATGTTGTCTCTTATGTAGCGGTGCATGTCTGTTTACATTGTAGGCTCATACACACAGTGGGGAAGTGCATTCCCCATTTCCCCAACTGTGTCTTACATAAACAGAGGAGCAGACAGGTAGCTCCTCTTTTACTAATCTGTATATGACGCTGTTACAATGCGGGCTCAGTCTTACTTCACACAAAGCCACAAAGCCAGAAATGGGGAATGTGTATATGAACCTGCATAGTTAGGGCCTTTGGACTGGGGGCATGGTGCAAATCTGACTACAGGAGATACAGGCACGTGCATGGAAATGGCACCCTAAAACTCCCAGCTGTGATTCCATGGATGCAAACTGACCAGCTGAAACAGGAGCAAAGAGAACTGGCAGGATCATCAGGTATTTTAACAGCAGAAAAATAAATAAATAAAGACTACATTTGTTTAGACCTACAGTATGTGAATAACCCAAAATATATAAGGGTAAATAAACATTTAAAGCAGGGGTGTCCCTAGGCTATTCACTGCCTGAGGAAGGGGGTTGGGAGGGTGCTGAAGGTGTATGTTAAAGCGTGGGGACGGTGTGCTAATAATGCATGTTTTGGACGGGTCGCTAGTTGTGCATGTTAC